AAGATTTAACAGGTGCCAGCAAAAGTCTTCTATTGATGATTATATTGATGAATTTGAAGAACTGAAAAGTTTAATAAAACGATCACATCCCTTACCAGAAAAATATTTCCTAGATTGCTTTGTGGGTGGATTAAAAGCATCTGTGAAACCTTTTGTTAAGGCCCTGAAACCTTCAACTATGGCTGAGGTTATTGAATTGGCCAGATCTCAAGAAGAAACTATCAATGCTACCAAGAGTAATTCATATGCCAGAAGCAATACTAATCTGCCAAACACCATCCATAATCAGATTCCTTTAAAGAATGTATTGGCAAGAAACCAAAACATTTCTGAGGCCAGCTCCAGAAACTATATTCCTGCATCAGTTAGAGCTGAAAAATTGGCAAAAGGACAGTGTTATTACTGTGATCAACCGTATGATAAGAATCATAAATGCCAATTTAAGAAAACTCAGTTGTTTATGGTAGAGGTGCAAGGTACAGATGAAGAAGAAGGGCCAGAATTTGATAATGCAACAAAGGAAGATATTATTGATGAATTGTTGATTCAAGACCCTTGCATTTCTATTAATGCTGTATCTGGGTGCTCAGGATTTCAGACAATGAGGGTGGTAGGATATGCTGGAAGGAAACCCCTACATATCTTGGTTGATTCAGGAAGCACTCACAATTTTATGGATTTGACGTTGGCAAAGAAATGGGGTCTTAAGATAGAAAAGATGAATCCACAGACGGTCACAGTAGCTGATGGTAATAACCTAGCTTGTCAGAACATGTGTAAGGAATTTTCGTGGACTCTGCAGCATCATAGATTTCAGACTGATATGTTACTAATACCATTAGGAGGATGTGATATGGTATTAGGAGTTCAATGGCTGACTGAATTGGGACCTGTGCAATGGGATTTTAAGAATCTCATTATGAAGTTTAAATGGAAAGGGCTGCCAGTGACTCTGCAAGGAATATCATCTGCCAACTTAAAATCCCTATATGCTTCTAAATCTAACAAATTCATAGAAGAAGCTACTCAGATATATTTCTTACAAATGATACCTCCCTATGAAGAGAAGACAGAATGTGGGTGCAGAACAGTAGAGGTCAAAGGGGATAAATATCCAAATGAATTGCAGGAATTATTACAACAATTTGAAGGGATATTCGAGGAACCTAAAGGTTTGCCCCCTTCTAGGGGTATATTTGATCACAAAATACCTTTAGAACAAGGGTCTAATCCTGTTAATATTAGACCATATAGGTATCCATTGAGGCAGAGAGATATTATTGAAGGTTTGGTCAAGGAAATGCATGAAAATGGAATAATTCAGAATAGTTCAAGTCCATTTGCTTCTCCTGTGGTGCTGATAGGGAAGAAGGATGGCACTTGGCGTCTATGTGTGGACTATAGAGAGTTGAATAAAAGAACCATAAAGAACAAGTTTCCTATTCCAATTCTAGACGAGCTGATTGATGAATTGGCTGGTTCTACCGTTTTTAGCAAGTTGGATTTGAGAGCAGGGTATCATCAATTGAGGATGAGTAAGGAAGACATCCCTAAAACAGCTTTCAAAACACATGAAGGACATTACGAATTTTTAGTAATGTCCTTTGGATTAACAAATGCACCAGCCTCCTTCCAGAATTGGATGAATACAGTTTTCAAGCCCTTGCTAAGAAAATGTGTGCTGGTGTTCTTTGATGACATACTTGTGTACAGCAAAACTCTGGAAGATCATTGGAAACATTTGAGGAAAGTGTTTCAGATCATGAAGGAAAATCAGATGTTCGCTAAGGCTTCTAAATGCAATTTTGCCATATCAAGGGTGGAATATTTGGGACATTTCATATCTGGAGCTGGAATAGAAACAGATCCCAAGAAAGTGGAAGCAATAACTAATTGGCCTGTACCTAAATCAGTGAAACAGCTAAGAAGTTTTCTGGGTTTAGCTGGCTACTACAGGAAGTTTGTTAGGTTTTATGGTGTTATAAGTAAACCATTAACTAACTTACTAAAAAAGGGGGCTTATTCATGGAATAATGAGGCACAGAATGCTTTTGAGAAGCTGAAATTGGCTCTAAGTACTGCTCCAGTTCTTGCATTGCCAGACTTTTCTAAAATCTTTGTAGTAGAGACTGATGCATCCAATGAAGGAATTGGTGCAGTTTTGATGCAAGAAAATCATCCTTTAGCTTTTATAAGCAGGTCATTGGGAGCTAGATGGCAAAAACTATCTGTGTATGAGAAGGAATTATTAGCTATTGTCTTCGCGGTGCAAAAATGGGAGCAATATTTGAGTTCTCAGCATTTTATCATAAAAACAGACCAGAAGAGTTTAAAATGGCTATTAGAGCAGAAGGTATCTACTCCATTTCAACAGTTTTGGTTGTCCAAACTTATGGGATTTGACTACGAAATCCAATATAAAAGTGGAAAGGAAAATCTGGTGGCTGATGCATTATCCAGGGTTCAGGGAGCTGAAATGTGTTACATGGCTGTATCCATAATAGCTTCTGACCTAGAGCAATGCATCAAAGATAGTTATGATAAGGATGAGCACCTATCTACCATAATTCAAAGGCTACAGCAGAATCAATCAGTGGATAAATATTCCTTAAAGGATGGTTTACTAAGAAGAAAGGGAAAGATGGTGATCGGTAATGAGGTAGCTTTAAGAAATAAAATTCTGGACTGGCATCATTCTTCAGGAGAGGCTGGTCATGCAGGAAGGGATGCAACACTGAAGAGAATCAAAACACTTTTCTATTGGAAAGGGCTCAACAAGGAAGTCAGCAATTATATCAGACAATGTGTAGTTTGTCAAGCAAACAAGAGTGAAAATGTGGCATATCCAGGCCTGTTGCAACCTCTACCAGTCCCAGAAGAAGTATGGGTTGACATTTCATTAGACTTTATTACTGGGTTGCCAAAATCACAAGGAAAAGAGGTAATAATGGCTGTGGTGGATAGACTGAGTAAAGGTGCTCATTTTGTGGCTTTATCTCACCCCTTTACTGCAATTGAGGTAGCCCAAGCTTACTTAGACAACATATTTAAGTTACATGGATGGCCAAGAAGTATTGTGAGTGATAGAGATGCAATTTTCTTGAGTCAATTCTGGAAGGGGTTATTTTCTTTACAAGGAACCAGATTCAACTTATCATCTGCTTACCATCCGCAAACTGATGGCCAAACAGAGAGAGTGAATCAATGTGTGGAAGTATATTTGAGATGCATGTGCAGCAATAATCCTAAAGAATGGAGTTTGTGGTTACCTTTAGCGGAGTGGTGGTTCAATACTCACTATCAGACTTCTGCAGGAATGACTCCTTATGAGGTTATATACAACCAACCCCCACCTTTACATTTGCCCTACTTACCAGGAGAGTCCAAACTTGATGCTGTGGATAGGTCAATGCAAAGAAGAGAAGAAATGATCAAAAAGTTAAAGGAGAACCTTAATAGAGCTCAAGTCAGAATGAAACAGTTGGCAGATAAAAGAAGAACTGAAAGAGTGTTTTCTAGAGGGGAATGGGTGTGGTTGAAACTGCAGCCATACAGGCAGCAATCTGTGCAGCTCAGGAACAATCAGAAGTTGGCATCTAAGTTCTTTGGTCCATTTCAGATTAAGGAGGTTATAGGGAAGGTGGCTTATAAGCTGAAGTTACCTGCAGATTCACAAATACATGATGTATTTCATGTTTCGCAGCTTAAGAAGTTCAGAGGAGAGTTACCTATGGCCACTCATATTCCAGCATGGTTTAAGGGTCAAAATGCTGAGGTACTACCTCAACCGGAAAAAGTTTTGAAACAAAGGAGTGTTAAATTTCAAAACAAAGTCCAAGTACAAGTGCTGGTTAAATGGAAAGGGTTTCCATCTGAAGAAGCAACTTGGGAATCTGTCCAGTCCCTTATGGAGCAATATCCTGACTTTAACATCTATGGTTCTAATGGGTGACTTGAGGACAAGTCAAATCTTTCAAAGGGGGAAGGATTGTTATAGGAGTTTGACTTGAGCTTTGACTGTAACTGCTTTTGTAGCTAGTAGTGTTGTGGGGCCAATTTAGTTTCTGTTGACCGATTGGTTAGAAGTAGTTAGAAGGGGGATCAACTATATTTTTGTATAAATACATTACTGAAACAGGGAATAAGAAGGTTGCGATTTATCATTCTATGAATTCCTTCTCGTTTTCTTGCTTTTCTTATAACAATGGAGTGTTGCTCTTGTTATTTGATTTAACTGATTAACAGTCGAGTTAGGCTCCTGTTACACAGTACCAACGTTATAAGCAGTGGGTCGACTATGTTGTAGTCAACTAACAATGCACCTAGTTGATTCTTTTGAGCTATGGTTGGTGTGGAAGTCGGATATCTTGGTCCGACCAGACTGCCAGCTAAGGGTCAGTGCTCGAGCCTATCATGACCTCAATGTGGCTAACCTAGGTGTACGAATCGATGACCCATTTTATGCAAGGACTGGCTGGAACCTGGATCTTTAACAGAAAAATGACCACATAAAAGAACTCTTATTGTCATGTGAATGAACGGATCACACCACATAAACATGGATAAAAAACATTAATAGTCGATCATAAAAATCACTGAAAAATCAAACATCATTAACAGATATGATAAGTAAAAATAGTAATCATGACTATGTTATGTTGGATAATTATACAAGTAATAACATATTAATTGACAAAATTGTATGAATAACTTTAATGGGAGCTATAGCACCGTGCTCTCTATTGCTTGTGTACCATCCGGGCAGGCCCTGTCCTAACGGGATAAAGGCCCTATTCAAAATCAAATAGGAGGCCCTAAAGTCCTAAACTATAGAGTATCATATATAAAAAATGAATTAATACATGTAAACTAGATTTTTCTTAAAAACTATCCTTCTAAATTTATAAAATTTATTCCCATTTATTTGTAAAAAGTATCTAGATTTGTAGAACCACTTATGTCTAGATGAATAAAATAAAGAATTCAAAGGGCATACTCCGTATCAATTAAATTATTATTATTATTTTCCTAAAGAATCAATATGTGGAGGCCCTTTCATCATATGGGGCCCAGTGCACTGGCTCCGGTTGAACACCCTCAAGGCCGGCCCTGCATCCGGGATTGCATATTTCCATCCATCAAGAAATTTCATCATGTCCCATGGTTTTCTGAAAATCTAACTGTGCCACACATATAGTATTTTCCAGTATACGACAATGAAAAAAATGAATAACTACAGGATTTATTTATCCACCAAACCACAATGGGCAGTAATAAAACAACCGAATGAATAGTAATTTAAGTTAAAATCGTTACTAAAAGTTTAGCTTGTTATATGGATGTCTTGGCTGCGAGGTGAGTTAATGCATATTTGTGGTATGTGTGACGCAGTTTCTTGTACTTCTGCACAAATGTAGTAAGATCAATTTCTCGACCAAGAAGCTGCTTATGTAGGGCTTCAGAATCGTCATCTGTTTTATTAGTTGCCTCTGGCATGAATAGCAAAAAAAAAAAACTAAAGTTAATACCCTTCTGAATTCAACACATGATTAGATTACCAAGTACATGTATACACTTTGCACCTTCAACAAGTATACTCCTACATCTTAGTAGCAACCCTTTGATCTATTCATTTAAAAGAAAATTACAATTGATCTACCCAGGATGACATGCATAAATCAAGCCTCATGATGTTCACATTGATCCTATAAAAACAACATTTTTGTTTTGGAAAATAGACATTTTTAGCATAGAAACTTTTTTAACTTATCATCGTGACTTCGTTAGGTTCAGGGGGGATGCTCCCTCATCCCAAAACTTTGGTGTGTATAGATTTATAATCTTTGAAAATACATTGAAATATGAACCGTAGGTTTTCCCAGGTTTTCCATAAAAGTGGTGAACACCGTGATGGCGGCTGGTTTTGAATTTCCTCTCATTATTCATACATGAAAGGTTGCAATAAGAAAGGCAATCAACCCCAAAGTATTGGGAGATGTATTGCTGACGATGATGCTTTACATATGTTGGCAGTACAACTTGTTATCAAACGCAAAACGTTAACAGCGGATTTTATTGTTGTTGACTTTACTACAGAGCAAAAAAGTGAAAATGAGGCACAGTAGAAGTACTACTTATCTACTTCATAGAGGATCCATTAATTACCTTCAAGTCTATGCAAAAGGTATGCAGGGGAGTAGTACTTCAGGAACTCCTCTTTTCTTCTTTCCAGTTCGTGTAGCGTTTGTTGAGCAGCAACTAATTCAGTTGTTCTAATTATCCTGCACTGTTATCCATAAGAGAAAATGTTATACAATCAAGTAGTATTTTGTTAAATTTGCTGTCTACTGATTACAAATTTTCAAAAAACAAACAAAACATATACCTGATTTCTAAGCTCCGTGATCCTCGGTTCTTTTTCTAGGTTCCCTCCTGTACAATAACAACGTTCAAAGCTTAAAATGTATCTGAGAGAGCATCTTCTATAAGAAACATTGAAACACAAAAACAGGCCCACTTACTAGCCAGCTGGAGTGTTTCATTACGAAGCTCATCCCTTACCTATTGGGAAGTGAAAAGATATTAAATGAGTGAGGCATCTAAAATATCCATTCAGATGAACTATTCCTACAAAGAGAACCTGATAAATTACATGAGTTCTTAAAATCCGATATTTGAACTCACCTTGTTTTGAGTTTTGACAGTCTCAAGTGAAACTAGTAAGTTGTGATAAGCATCCTTGTCAGAGAGAAGCTTACGAAGCTCATCAACACTACAACAAAGTAAAATTTCAATATTAGCACAGAAAATGGGAAACCTAAGATGATCAACATGCATTCAATATTCAAGATTTGGAGGGTGCTTTTCCTTTTTAAAACAATTGGGGCCATATTGTAAAGAATCACGAAATAAAAAGCTGTAATTTATCTGTTTATAGATGGAGAACAATTTATTAACGAAAAACACACAATCTAACACAGCATGTGAATGTGTTCACCAGAAGCTACCTTTTATGTTTAAGTACATCTATGATGGAAGCAGTCTCTGCAGGAGATACATGTGATGAGGAGCTCTGTCTGTCTGAAGGCCTTGATAGACTGATGCTTTCGGAAGAACTGGCAGAACTGACAACAGATGGAGTTTCCTGCCTATGTGAAGGAGCTGGTTGCTCCTGAGAACCCCTGTAGATATGAACATTTGTCAATACCCTCAACGCACCAAATTATCTCAAACAAGCTAAACCTTCATCTATTTCAACCAAGCCCTAGTTGCTTAAGTCAAAGGAAATTCGCATTGAATCCCGAAATCACGAGTAACACTGTCCTAGTTTATAGTGACTTCATGCTCTATACTTCATAAGAACATTAAAAAATCCGAAGAGCGGAATTCCAGATATCAGAATTGGCTAGAATTCGAAATAGCTGCAATTCATAAATTAATCTCCAAAACTAAATGGAGTTTTGAATCGGAACGAAAAGCTAACAAAATTACCACAATAATTTTAGCATTTTCAAAGATTACCACAAAAGTTTGAACATTTCCAAAGAGAAGCTTGTGTCAATCGGAATGCTCAGGATCTAATGAAGTCGTTAGTCTTTCCAAATCAAACTTTCAAAGAAAATAACTAACTTCGTAGATAAGCTCCTTCCGAATTAAAAAATATATTAAAAAGACCCAGCCGCATTGATTAAAGATTGAGTATTATTCAGGGAAAAGGGTAAGATAGGATCTTGAATGCACATAAAAAAGGTCAAATAAGGTGTTATATAGGAGACTATGTTCTGCCGACGTCATATAGGACGGTTTCCAGTGGAAATTTTTGATGAAATTTTTTGAGCATCTTATTCATTAAGTCTAGTTTACTCATACCAATTTTGAACTAAAACTTCAATCAAGAAGGCATTCAAATAAATTCTTGAAGATAACTGTGTAGTTAAAAGCGCAGTTATCTTCAAGAATACATTTGAATGTCTTCCTGATAGAATTGTTTGCTGAAATTTGGTATGAGTAACTAGACTTAATAAAAAAGATGCTCAAAAAATTTATCAAAAAATTCCACCAGGAACCGCCCCAAATGGCGACGCCAGACAGATCCTCCTATATAAGGGCTTATTTGACTTTTTTTGTTAGTATGTGGGCTTATTTGTCCCTTTTCTCGAGTTATTAATTAATACTACCCACGTCCCGAAAAGAAGTCCCCACTTTAATTTTATGAATGTCCCAAAAAGAAGTTCTCATTTTTATAAAAGGTAACTACTTTTATCCCAATAGTCACAGTTAGCCTTACTTTTTATCCACTTTTTGCTTGATTTGACATAAAGTAAGGTTAACTTGGAAAGTGAAAACAAAACACTACCTTACACAAATATGTGTGTAGGTCAAACCGAGAACTTCATTTCGGAACGGAGGGAGTAAAACACTCGTTAAAAAAACACTATTTAAATATTTTGTAAATATTTTTGTGATTTTGTTAATATAATATATTTTAAATACTCCGTATAATTCTTCATAGTTCAGAAATTAGATTATTTCAATACTCTATATAATTTTCATAATTCAGAAATTAGATTATTTCAATCAAAATTTCATCAATTTCATCAGATTCAATGGATTCAGACATTTCAGTGTTACCTAACGGGCTCTGAATTGACCGAATATACTGAAATGATGAAATGCTAGCTGAAGCAACTGAATTGTCAGACTCTGATTATGAAAAAAGTATATCTAAAATATATCTTATTAGTAAATTAAACAAAAAAGTAGGAAAGCGTTTGATAAATTGAAAATAAAAAATCACCAAACATGCTATAAACGTGCTATTTTATTAGGACTTCCTTTTTTTGAACCGGAACTGGCAACTATATTAATGAAGAAGATCACAAGCCAATTGACTTACAATACAATCCGGAACATAATCGTAAGTAAATTTATGATATGAGATACAGACATACGTTCTCGCAAATGCGTGAGCCACACGATTCGCAGATCGTCTACAAAAAGAGATATCATAAGAACTCTTTCCAATCATCAAAAAGCGGATATCATCAAGTGTTGAGATTAAGTCCCGTAGATCCAAAAGCCCAACACATGCTTAGGATATATGGGGATGTGGCTCTTGGTTGGTGGGTAAAGAAAATATAAAATAGTGAAGAAAAAGTAAACTCAAGAGCCGAGCTTGTATTAATATTGCAAGTACGAAGAACTACCTGAACAGCCTAACGGAGTGGTGATTTAATACAAGAATAGAACAATAAATCTCTCTCTAAGCTCTGAGTATTCAAATGTTAACTCTTTCCAATGAGTTAAATGATGCTATTTATAGTACGGAGTAGTAGGTGACAAGGACACGTGGCCAAACCCTGTTGGTTGCTGCCTTTCCCGCAATGTTCCCACTTGTTCCCGCCAAACTCTAGCATTAAATGCGGTTGCCACTTGCTGATATTGCGTCCGGGTACCCCGTTCGGGGAACGGGATCCCCGCTGATGTGGTACTTGATGTATTGCCCCTCGCCTGTGAACTATCCCGAACGCCGGTCAGGTACCCCTATGTGGGCGTGGCCCCTGCCTGGACGGTAGCGCTCTTGTGGATTCCCCTCAAGCAGACTAGATAGCCCGAACGCTGTTCGGGCTGGGTATATCACTTTGCTGGCAGTATTTCATGGATTGTTCCCAAGTAGCGGAGATGTGCCGAATACTGCTCGGGTATCCCGAGCGGGACGCTTTGCACCTCTTTGGGCCGAATATTTCACTTGGGCCTCTCCTATTATGTATCGGGGATATTGGGCCTGGACCCAATATCTCAACACAGACGGTGCCAATGTTGAGATTAAGTCCCGTAGATCCAAAAGTCCAACAAACGCTTAGGATATATGGAGATGTGGGTCTTGGTTGGTGGGTAAAGAAAATATAAAATAGTGAAGAAGAAGTGAACTCAGGAGCGGAGTTTGTATTAATATCGCAAGTACGAAGAACTACCCGAACAGCCTAACGGAGTAGTGAATTAATACAAGAATAGAACAGTAAATCTCTATCTAAGCTCTGAGTATTCAAATGCTAACCCTTTCCAATGAATTAAATGATGTTATTTATAGTAAGGAGTAGTAGGTGAGAAGGACACGTGGCCAAACCCTATTGGTTGCTGCCTTTCCCGCCATGTTCCCACTTGTTCCCACCAAACTCTAGCATTAAATGCGGTTGCCACTTGCTGATATTGCGTCCGGGTACCCCGTTCGGGGAACGAGATCCCCGCTGGTGTGGTACTTGATGTATTGCCCCTCGCCTGTGAACTATCCCGAACGCCGGTAAGGTACCCCTGTGTGGGCGTGGCCCCTGCCTGGATGGTAGCGCTCCTGTGGATTCCCCTCAAACAGACTAGATAGCCCGAACGTTGTTCGGGCTGGGTATATCACTTTGCTGGCAGTATTTCATGGATTGTTCCCAAGTAGCGGAGATGTGCTGAATACTGCTCGGGTATCCCAAGCGGGACGCTTTGCACCGCTTTGGGCCGAATGTTTCACTTGGGCCTCTCCTATTATGTATCGGGGATATTGGGCCTAGACCCAATATCCCAACATCAAGTAAAAGATCCATATATGACATGCCCTCTCCTTTGTGATATCCTCGAACCACTACTAGTGCATCCGTTTCAAAATCCATGTTTTCCCAACCCTCCTCAGAAGATGCTAGCATGCTAAGATAGTCGCCCTTAGCCCGAAAGCTTCTGCTTCCGCCGGAGACCAATCTGCCTTACATGAAGCCCCACCTGCTTTCACAAACTCACGACTATCATTCCTTGCCACCCAGCCCCATGCTCTAGTGCCCCAAGATAAATCCACCGCGGTGTCAACGTTGACTTTAATTCTTCCCACCTGTGGCTTATTCCAAAGTCGTACCATCCATCCTCGCACCGCTGCTAGCTTTCAACGGAACCTGTTGCGCTTCCCGCCATGCCCGCAGCATACTAGCGCAGCAGTTAACCAGCCCGGCCGTCTGCTGCCATTCATCATCCCAGACGAGAGCATTCTGACGTTTCCAAAGGCCCTAAGTCAGCATCATGACCGCCTTGCATCCCAACTCTTTATCCGGCTCCGAGAGAAGATTTTGCAGCCAAACCTCCAAAGATTCACTTCTCCTGCCCGTGTTCACCCCTGTTTCGGCCCAAACCTCGGCCACTTTAGAGCAAGTTCGAAGTGCATGATCCGGTGTTTCCTCTTCCTGCAAACAAGCTTTACACATATTTTGTAATGGCACTTCTCGTCTTTCCAAATTAACAAGTGATGGAAGGGACCCATCAAGAACCTGCCAAACAAAATATTTAACTTTTGGTGGAATTTTTAGCTCCGAAAAATCTATCCAGTCTCTCCACCCCCCAACTACCACTCCTTGCATAAGAGCCCTGTAGCAACTTTTGGCAGTGAAAATCCCATTATTTTTTTAGTCCACCATAAACCATCCTGAAGACTGATCAGAATACTACAAAAAGATTTGCACTCCTCCTGATAAAAAATCGCAGATATCCTCTCCTTATTAAATTTCTTACCAGTAAAATCCCTCAAAGCCGCTACATTCATATCGGCTATGCCAACCGGTTTAGCTGAATGAACATTTTCATCCCTCGGTCCTGGTAGTCAAGCATCCGCCCATACGGCCATACCTGTACATCCTCCCCATGCCCAACTCGGTGTCTGATGTTCTTCCTCAAAACATCCTGAGTCTCAAAAATGCTTCACCAAATATAACACGGATTATTACCAAGTTTAGCTTTCAGAAACTCAGAATTAGGAAAATACCTTGCCTTTAGAATCCGCCCCATAAGACTCCCCGGGTTTTGTAGAAGCCTCCATCCTTGTTTAGCCAGCAAAGCAATATTAAATTCCTGAAGTTTCCTGAAGCCCAAACACCCAAGCCCTTTCGGTTTGCACATCACCTCCCACCTTCTCCATCGAATGCCCCTTTAATTTGCTCAAACTTAATTCCTTTCCACCAAAACCCATTCAAGAGTTTCTCTACTTCATCACATAAATTCTGGGGAAGAAGGAAGACATTCATAACATATGTGGGCATAGCTTGCACCACATTCCGAAGCAGAACTGTCCTACCTGCCCTGGACAGGAATCGATTATTCCAGCTCTTTATACGATTAAAAATTCAATCACGAATAAAGCCAAGGATGGCAGCCTTGTCGCGCCCCACCAGACTTGGTAAACCCAAGTATTTCTGTTGGCCACTATCCTGTGGCACAACAAAAAAATTGCAGCACTAATCCTTGAAAATATCTGAAATATTCTGACTAAAAGTAACAGTAGATTTAGAAAAATTAATGGTCTGCCCCGATCCTTCCTCATACTCTTGCAAGATCATCAGAATAGCATCGCATTCACTAGCGGCAACCTTGAAGAAAAGGAAGTTGTCATTTGCAAAAAATAAATGAGACACCCTAGGTGCCCCACGCCACACCGCCAAACCTTAATAAAGCACTAAGCCCCTCAGCAACCAGAATAAAAAGATATGGCGATAGGGGATCCCCATGTCTCAGAACACGTCCCGGAAAAATAGGGCCCAGAAAATCACCATCAAATTGAATAAAATAATTGACTATTCTGACACACTCTGTGACCATCTGCACCCATCGGCCGTTAAAACCCAATTTAAATTAATTCCTTCCACAAAATTCCAGTCCGCCTTGTCGTAAGTTTGCTCATATCCAACTTCAGAGCAATATACCCCTCCTTTCCTTGAGTTTTTCTCTTAA